TCTGCGCATATGGACAGTTCTCTAAGCAGGGGGTCCCTTTTGAGGTCCCGGCATCAAAGGACCCGAAAAGGAACTCTAATTTGGAGAGCTCCCATATGTTCTTAGACAGGTAAGTTCTCGGCTACCCCGCCTAAACCCTAAAACCAAATCCCTAAGCCCTGAACCCTAATCCCTAAACCCTAAGCCCCAAAACCCCAAAATTCCTAAACCCTAAACCCTAAAACACCAAAATCCTACCTGTCATCCACCCTCAGAGCCCCTTGTTGGACGGGCCACCGTCGGTTTAAAGCGCCAAGCACCCTTGGAAAACTGAACTTTGACCTGGGGGCATCGAAGAAGAAAGGGGTTTAGGGTTTAGGGGTTAGGGGTTTAGGATCTAGGGTTTAGGGTTTAGGGATTAGGGGTTTAGGGTCTAGGGTTTAGGGATTAGGAGTTTAGGGTTTAGGGGTTAGGGGTTAGGGGTTAGGGGTCTAGGGTTTAGGGTTTAGGGGTTTAGGGTCTTGGGGTTTGGGTTCAAGGTTTAGGGTCGAGGGACCCGAAGATGGATTCTAAGCAATAGGATCCTATTTCGAAGGACACTGACAGAACCGACCGCACATGCCTGAGCCCCATGTGAGGTAGGGTCCAAGTCTGTCCAGGGCCTAGGGCTCAAGACGGGGTCTGTATAATGTAGTGGCCTTAATGCTTAGAATGGGGTTTTGGGGCCCATTATACTATACTGAAAAAGGAACCCCCAAAATAGAAAAAGGTAACTATTTAGACCCCCAAAATTAATTACAATGAGTCGGGCTTAGGGTTTAGGGTACAGTTACCCAGTAGCAGATTGGATAGCATTACTGAACATTCAGGAAGCTTACATGAATGGTTTACACGAATCGAGCCTTCAGAAGGTTACTTCGAGTCTTTGCCAGGTTGCTAGGCTGTTCCGGAATTCAGGAGTGCTTGAGATCCAGACCCAGTATACACTACCCACAGGCCCCATAGTAGTTCCTCTTTGGGATTCCCAGATAGAACCCTAAACATAAGCCACAAAAAGGAACTACTATGGGCCTATGGGTAAACCACAACGTGCTAAACCGGAAAGTCCTACGCCCTGAACCCTGCAATCCTCAACCTGCATCTTGTCTCTGCGGCCTTCAACGGGCATTCCTTCAACATAGAAAACACTATGCCGTCAACTTTATCGCCTAAACCCGGGAACCTTGACGAAACCCTACTAACTCTATAAACCTTAAACCCTGAACCCCTAAACCCCTAAACCCTAGACCTTAAACCCACTATGTAACCCTTGGGTTGTCGTGCGATGGAGGAATTCGGATTTCTGGACCTTCGCCGTTCAGGGGCTCTGTTTAAGATGGTATAATATAGGTGCCTTAATAATTAGAATAGGGTTTGTGGCCCATTATGCTATACTTATAATAATGACCCTCCAAAATAATATAAGTAATTATTAAGGCAAAAGTAGGGAATTATAACCGGGTTGTCAGGTACACCATACCAGAACCATCTCGGGATGATATAAGCCCTAAACCCTAAACTTCATTAAGCTCCTGTACGTTAAACACCGTTTGTATTCAAGTTCCGAGTTTAGGACTCGTCTCAGGGTTTAGAGGAACTCACGGCCTTGAGCATCGCTACTTAGAGTGGTGTCCTGGTGTACATGTATGTGTATATATATATATATGGTAGCCCCGCAAAGATCTATGTTTCTTGCTCCTTTCAGCTCGTTCCACTCACGATCATCTCCTCATGACCATTCTTCCACTCACGATCGTCTCCTCATGACAAACCAATCATATTAAACCCTAAACCCTAAACCCTAAAATTGAAACCCAAGGCCACCCACACGCAAAGCAGACACAGTCAGGTTATCCAAACACATCCATACACTTAGGGTTTAGGGTTTAGGGTTTAGGGTTCTCAAAGACTTTATCCCGAATGAAACCGAGTGAAATTTCAATCGGGGCCTGGATCCAAGATCCAAGATCCAAGATTGCCACGAGGTCTGTCCTAGGGAATCTTGGATGCGGGCCCCGATTGAAATTTCAATTGGTTCAAGCACTTTCAATCGGGATCCAAGATTCTGCCGACATACCGCTGGACAATCTTGGATCTTGGATCCGGGCCCCGATTGAAACTTCAATCGGCTCAATCCGATTCAGTCGGTACTCCTTGGTACGCTTACTCTTGGCCAGTCTGTGCTGCAGTTCGCAGTTGGCGCTGATGTCAGCTTCTGCAAGGATAAAGCACCCGTGAATGAAATTGAAATTCAATATGTTTGAATATTTCAATGTGATCCTCTGCCCTTCTTGGTTGTGTTACCTAAACTGCTCTTGTGACAGTCTGCATGTGCAGATCTGCGGCTGCCTGCATGTGCATATCTGTTACATGTGCACAGCAAGGCAGCTTGAAGCAATTGCTTCATTGACGTTGAAGCCCTTCGTGTCTGAAACCGCTACTCATACTCCGCTTTGTGCGCCATTTCACATAATTCGAATATTCCGGAAACTTTTCGATTTATCTGAATTATCCGAAATAAGCTATTTCACATAATTTGGATAGGCCTGGATAAGCTGGCTATTCTAAAAACTTTTCGAGTTATCCGAAATGGGCTATTCCTAATAGCTCGGATAGTTTTGGTATTTTGGTGCTATGGAACCGCGGCGTTTTCCCAGAATGAGGATAGCGACAGGTGGTTCGATAGCACCAACTGTCTTAGAGGGTATATACATATATATATATATATATATTTATATTTATATTTATATTTATATTTATATTTATATGAGTATGCAAGGGATATCATATACAAGGGGTATCCTACCAGGTATTCTATAGAGTATTCTATAAGGTGTGTATACAGGAAGTTATTCGATAAGGTATCCTATAGGCTACAAGGTCTTCAATGAGGTATACCTGGGGTATATCTATAGGAAATTCTTTGAGGTTTGCAGACGAGGTATTGCCTGAGGTATTCTAAAGACAACTCGCTTAGGATTCCTGATTTCTTTCAAAGAAAAACCCTAAACCCTAAACCCTAAAACCTAAAACCCTAAACCCGAAATCCCTTCATCAAAGGGCGGCTCGATAGCACCAAACTTTCGGAAGGCCTTCCTTTCAGGAAATTTGGTGCCATCGAACTGGTGTCGTAATAAAATTGGTGCTCTCGAACCGCTGTGTTTTCCGTTGCAAAATCGGACAACAAACAGGGGCGGTTCGATAGCACCAAATTCTGCGAAGTGCCGTTTCAGAAAGTTTGGTGCTATCGAACCGTCTGTAGAAAGGGTGTTCTGCAAGGTATTCTATTATGGGCGACGCTCCTAGATTCCCGGTTTCTTTCTTAGAATTCCCTTCTTCAATATGCTACCATTGAAATATGTGACTTCTCAGATCTTGGGTTCCTCTTCATTTTCCTTATCTATATCGTTCTATCGGGTATGCTATAGGGTATTATAACGCACGCTAGAGGACGTTCTATAAGGTAAGCTTAAGGTATACAGAGGGTATATTACATAGGCTTTTTTAGGAAGGTCTTCTACTACAGGGTATTCCAAACGGTACTCTATAGGGCATTCTATAAGATATTCTATAGGGTACTTCGTAAGGTATTGTACCAAAGGTATTCTGTAGCCTATATTTAGGAAGGTAGTCTGTAGGGCATTCTGAATGAAATTCTTCAAGGTATATAAAGGAGTATTCTATAAGGTAGTTGTAAGGCTATTCTTCTTGGTTCCTGATTTCCTTCATAGGAAACCCTTACCCAATAAGCTACGATTCAACTGGGGATTGTGCTTCGGGTTAAGCCACAAAGGCACAGCAAAGAGAAAAAACAAACATAGATCTTTGAGGGGGGCAGCATATCATTGTATGCACACGTATATAGAAATTATAGATATACACATGCACTTATCTACTATTTATGTATTTATGTATGTTCTAATATTATGAGTGGCAGGTCTTGCAACCTCTGAAACAAGGTAAATATTTTAATTCTGTGAGTTAGCTGAGAGAGGCAGTGAGAGAGGTAAGTGTGAGTCTGTTGAGAGAGATTTCGGGTCTGTGAGTTTCGTGTGAGCGGTAGGTGTGATTCTTCTGTGAGCTTTGGTGTGAAAGGATCTGAACGAAGTTTGTAGAGGAGTGAGTTTCTTGTGAGTTTGGTGCCCCGCTCTCAGGTCCC